ATCATACTGGGCAATTTTCCACATTATTAGTTACATATCAGTCTTATAGCGTACTGGAGCAGTTTGGCTAGAGATAGATCTAGTTCTGGAGCAAAGATCTTCAGCCCTAGAGGTAATATGCTGTCAAGCTTTGTTACATTTTCTGCAGCTAGTGAGCTTGGCAATTACTTAATATTATACAGACCAAATTAAATTGGCTGAAATTGAATTCTGTCATGGTGGGGACCTCAGGAGGAGAACAAAATGTCTCATCCACTTGCAACCTCTTGCTGAAGATTGTTGCAAATGTATTGGGGGATAATATATACATTAATGAATATTTGTTATAAATCAATTAGCTCTTGAATGACTATATCTTAAAATCTGCGTCCTAATGTTCCATGCACAAAACATGGGAAGATCCGTTTTATGATAGTAAACATTATATTTGTGCCTATTTCTTCCACACTAAGTTCCTAATTCTTCATTTATAATACAAGCTGTCTATATAAACTGGTCGGTAGATAATTAACTTTTTTCACCAGTGGAGGTAAAATCATTGCAAGAGTGGAATTACAAGATATAAGTCTGTTTGTAATGGAAACACCTTAAGTGCAGACATACAATTTTGCACTGGACTGATGCAAAAATTAAGTCAAAAATCCACAATATTTTCCAGAACGGTGAATGTGGGGCCATAAACAGACACAGGACATGGAGACATTTTGGGTCGCAATGTCAGGGCCACGTTTATAACTTGTAGATCCAACTCCCATCTGGCAATTGATCAAATGACAATGGGTGACAGAGGACTGCAAGTGGAGATGGAGAACCCATGACTGGGAATGCTGTGTTGAGAAGGGAGGAGGTCAAAGATCCATTGGTTGTTGGGGAAGGACCCAACGGGGGAGGGCTGAAAGAGAGGCTTGATAGATACAGCTCCTCTTGACCCACCTGCAGCACTAAAACAAAATCATTTAATGTGAAGAGTTGGCAGCTCCTGTTTCTGTTTCAATGTCAAATCTCCTGTCTCCAGAAAGCCTATGCAGCACCACTTAATTCCAATTTGTGAAAATAATTCCACTGTATCAGTCTACTTTCAAATGTGCAAAGTATCCTACTTTTCCATGCTGTGGCATTTCAATGCCTTAATATCCAGTGCCTTAAACATGAAAGTGAGCACCTTTTCCTTCTGTTGTCGAGTGGATATTAAGGCCTATGACTTGAATATGTCAGGAAAAACTCAGCAAGTCTGGCAGCACCTGTGAAGAGAAAGCAGAGTTAAGGTTTCAAGTCCAGAGACCCTCCTTGAGAACTGTTCTGAAGAAGGGTCACTGGACTCGAAATGTTAACTCTGACGATGCCAGACCTGCTGAGTTTCTCCAGCAATTTCTGTTTTTGTTTGTTTCAGTTCTCCAGCATCTGCAGTTCTTTGTTTCACTTTAAGAGGATGATTGAGTTCCATTTGTGCATTCCATTTCACTCAACTCCTATTACCATTGTCCTTTCTTTCCTGAGCCTGCCAGGCCAAACTTCTTTTAAGGTTTCTCCATCCCTAAGCCCTGAATTTGTGGCTGTCTTTCCGGTTTCTCTCTGAGCTCCTACAGTGTCCTTTTCTAGCTCATTTTGGCCACATCCTGCTCCCCTGATGCGATTCCCACTAACTACTAACCATCCAACTTTCCTTCCTGTTAGCTGATATTGTTCCATAGTTTTCTCTCCTCAGACACTGTGCACCTCTCCATCAAATCTCACAATCTCTCCGCTTCTCTGAAATAACATTCTCAATAACAAACTGTAGACCTTGAACACGTTGCCCCCAAATCCGCGTCCATCATTGCAACAAGTTCATTTGAATCTCTCTAAATAGAATATTCCCTGCTTTACAACCAAAATGTGTCTCAAAGTCATAAATGACATCCTATGTGGCTGTCACAGAGGTATCCTATCCATTCTGTTTCTTCTTGACCTGACTGCAACTCCTGTCAAGATTTACCACATCGTCCTCCTCCAACACTTCTCTGCTGTCTTCCAGTTAAGCGAGACTAAAACTTGCCTGGTTCTCTTCTTACCACTTCAGTCATAGCTAAAGAATCACCTGTAATAGCTTCCCTTCCCACTCCCTCAGAATTTCCTCACGTGTCCCTCAGAGGAACTCTCCTCAGCCACTTCCATTTCTCAGCTTCAGGCAGGCACTTGGAGACAAAATTTGAAAACACATCATTAGTTCCCACATGAATACGTGAATCTTTGACCTTCTGCTCTCTAAATTGTCAGACTACTTGTCTGACAGGAACTGAATAAGCAGAAATTGCCTCTAATTAAAACATTGGAAGGACGGAAGCAACTCTGCTCCAGATCCATGGATGACTTCTCTCTCCCGTACTAAAACTGATCCAGACTGTTCACAATCTTGAAACCTTTATCTATCTCTTGGCCATCTCATGGCTTTGCAATTCCAATGCACTCCTGGCCAGCTTCCACTTTATAACTTCCATAACTTTGAAACAGTGGTTCTACCTCGTACTAATCACACTTCATCCATCATTGCAGTGTTTACTACATTTGCTTTAGTTGATCAATAGCTTGCGTTTAAAATTCTCCTCATCTTTGTTTTTAAATTCCTCATGACCTGACCACACCACTTCTCTGCACTCTCTTCCTTTTCAAAACATTCCACCTCTTGAGAAACCCCAATTTTAGAAGGCTGCAGAATTGGCGACTGGCATTTTAGCAGTCAAGGCCCTGAGATCTGGAATTCGCAAACTGGTCATCTTCACCTCTTTGCTCCTGCTTTCTCCCTTCAATACACACCCTAAAATCTACCTCTTCAATCAACATTTAGGTGATCTGACCTCATATCTCCGAACAAGCTCATTGTCTAATATTATTCTTCTTAATGTTCCTGTGAGGTTTCTTGGAATATTTTACAAGGTTAAAATGTTATATAAACACAGGTTGTTGCTTATTTCAAACTTTGCACTTGACCTTGACTGACCCTGCTACTGAAAATCAATTAGTAATATAATATAATTTGCTTTCTCTGTCAACACAGATTTAAAATTACCAATTAATTTCTTCTCCTTTAGAGCAAACTACTAATTGAAAGCTAAGTCAGCTACACCTAGTTGCCAATTTTGCTAAAAAAGACACTAAACCTAGGGTCTAGTTATGGTGCTGAAATCCTGACCACCAATTGTTTGGCAAACAACATGTAGCTGAACAAATCTTTCAGAAGGTAACTCTGATCCTGTTCTCTTCCTGGAACAGACCACAGCTTTGCGGCCATTTCTTATTCTCACAATAGGTGGACAATAACAAAACTGATTGGTGCATGTATTAACAGATTTTAAAAGATGAAAATTTAGAATGTTATTGGAAATGTTTAAACTTTCTGTGACCAGTAGTATATTAACTGTAGTTCAGGTCTCCAGAAAAGAAGAATAATCAGGAAGGATTGTTCTAATGAGACAGCAAGAACTGCAGATGCTGGAGTCAGAGATAACACAGTGTGGAGCTGGAGGAACACAGAGGGCCAGGCAGCATCAGAGGAGCAGGAAAATTGATGTTTCGGGTCTGGACCCTTCTTCAGAAATGGGGAAGGGTAAAGGAGCTGGGATATAAATAGAGAGAGGAGGGGTGGGGCTGGGGAAGGTAGGTGTTCTAATACCTGCTGAGGCACAAATCTTTAAGGATGCAATGCAGTTAAAGCTGAAGATGATAACCATTAGGGAAATTAAGAAACCAAGGAAGTATTACAGTTGAGCATGACAAAGGATATCTCTGTCTAATTTGTTTAATTTCATTGAGATTTTTATTGTGATTTTAAATTGATAGCTGGATAGAGACTTGGAGCTACAGCAGTTGATAATGGTCTCGATAGTCAATACAGGATCACAAAAGAGGGGAGTGGGTATCAGCATGTAGTGACTAGTTAATGTCACTGATCTGTGCTGTTTGTAAAAAAGCTGTAACAAAGACTATTGGTAAACGATGAGTGTTCTGCTGCAATGAAACAGATTCTTCACAATGTAATATTGTAGATGGGCAATGATTAGAGTGCTCATGCCCAGCATAAGTTTGTTGCATCCCTTAAGTGTTCATTATGATTAGTAACTTCCAAAAGACAAAACATTTCATTTATTCTGAAATAAAGTCAAAACTTCCATACTTTAGTACACTGTCAAACATATCATGTTATAATTCTGAAACTGTACAGAACTGATACTTTGCAATAGTTAATTCTCTGAAGCATCTGAAAGCATGGTAATAGAGAAACCTTAGATATAATTCATGGTTCATTACAATTTTTATGTATTAAAATATTAAAGAACTTGGCACAAAAATCATAATTAATTTTAGAAATGAGTTGGCTATCTTTAGTTTATAGATGAATAAGCCAGAATGTATTGTAAAATGACACTGACTTTGAATAATCTCTTGTCAGCTAATAGAGGATAGTGACTGTGCATTCAGCTCCTTTGGGTGGCAGGTGACCAACGGAGACCTATATGCCTACATGCTTTCAATGCCTGGTGCTTGGATACTGATACGATATGCTTAGAACGACTGATCAGTTTACCTGTCTGTGTTTTTACACTAATTCTGGAGTAGAGGAATGTGCTACATCAATGAATGGCCCAAGAGGTTCCTGAATGTATTTATTGAGCAGCTTAGTAATCATCAGGTACACAAGATTTTATCAACAAAATGTTTATCAGATCGGTTTATTAATGGGAAATCCAAGTCTGTACTAACTGGTAGCCTGATTTCAGCATTTTTTAATTAGAAGACATATCAGTGGAAGATTTTAAATTTATATCTGATGTGGTATTTAATTTGATTAAGTATCTTTTATTAAATTTTCAATCTACAAGAGCAGACCAAGATATCCAGTTGGTTAACTGAAAACAATTATTTGTTTTTATTAAACATTGTGCATATTCTGATTATTAGTTTACACTTGCAACAAAAATATCTATCAAAAATAATCTTGAATTACACTTTCCCTTGATTATCAGGTGGATGTATTGCTTGACAATGATGCAGAAAAGGATTATCTTTATGATGTATTACGCATGTACCACCAGTAAGTAGCATTTTTACTCATAACTAGATAAATTTCTCTTTCTTGTTTGTAAGGGGATATCTTTTTAGTCAACTAGAGTTCTTTTTAACAGTATTATGTTGATGGAAAAGAAGTAATGAAGTTGACAGAAGCATTTTTTAAACATTTCTGTAGTTCTAAGTTGTAGAAATGCAAGTTAATTGATATAACTACACATTTGAGCTGTAAACGTACTTATTAGAAAGTAAAACAACTAGAAACAAAGAAAGACTATCATGACGCTGGAGCCCCTAAAACATTTCACAAATTGAATAATGAATTCAGGTAGAAAATAGCAACAACTTTTAATTTTAGATCCATATAAAATAAATGAGTCAACCAAACTGAAATGAATATTCTCATTGCAAGGTGTAGAAAGTATTAAAATAGTATGGTATAAAAGTTGAATATTTGAGAATTAAGGATTTATTTTGGCAGATCACAGTAATCTTATTTGTTTAGCCTTAGTTTAAATGTCTACAATTTGTTATGTGACTAAGAAATGTTAGCTTGGTATTCAACTGTATGTTCGAGGGGATGGGAGGGGTTTCAGCCCAGCTGAACTTAACCCTTCCCTTCATCTGGTATAAATTCCTTTACACTTCCCAACAAAATCCACTGATTTAATAATCTGCAACAGGAACAATGGAATGCTTGTGTGTTCCCCAAACAGCCACCTCAGCACAGTGTTTCTGGACTCCATAGCTCAGTACAATGCAGGATAATTCATTTACCAATTAAGTGACTGGGGAAGCTCAATTCCTTATTTACTGTGGAGCACTAATGAAAGAATTAGCATAAAAGAACTCATTAAGATGGTTGTTTTCAGTCTATGTCTTAATAGTTTTACAACCAAAGATAAAATTTTCAAAATGAACCTTTATAGTTTATATATATTATAAATTTCTGTAAATTATAAAAAAACTTTTATAATAAAACACAGAAATATTATACCTTAAAATTTAAAATACTTGAGCATATTAATAAACATCTGTACTGCATTTGTTTGAATATTTCTGTGGTAATAACTTGCTGCTTTCTGATATAGTAGTTTACTGGTAATGGTAGTATCTTGTAGCATTGTGGTTTGGACCATTGATAGATAATTCAAATCCCTCTAGAGTACTTAGAATTTCATTTAAAAGTTGAATTACAATGGATTAGTTAGACTGTGTGGAATCATTTACACTGTAATTGATGGCATTTATGTTCAACATGATTCATTGCCTCTTTGCCAAGATTAAAACTTAAATGCTATTTAGGTATCTTTGTGCATGTGCAAAATTCTCAACTTTCTCAAAAATATGGTCTGTGCAGCTCATGACGTAATTTAGGTCATGACCATAGCTTTGATCATGTACAAATCACAAACTACTACCAATACAAATTCCAACATGCTTAAGATATAAGCTACTCTACAGTATGCAGTGGCTAATTACTTCATATAAAATATATTGAAAGCATATGGCAGCACTTTTGTACTTACAAAGTACAATATGATTTATGAAATTAGAATTCAATTACCATATTTTTATCCATACCACCCAATTTAAGGAGCCACGTCAGAATATGTTGGCATTAAATGTTTAATCCACAGCCTGATAAAAAGCAAAATAAATTGAGGAACTATATTCTGCATAAAATAGTTATTTTGGAATGGGTTATTAATCTTCTGCTGTCACAGAAATGTTTTGTAAGATATATTGTTTCCATTCATTACTTGAATAAAAGAAGCACAAAAGGAACTGAAATGTAGACGTTGGCAAAGTTTCCATGTGATCTTTGTAGAGAGAATGGATGTTGTTTCTCAGTGGTCTTTTCCGACTCAGTTTCATGGAGGTTTGCCTAATTACTTTTGCCATTCATAAAGAAAAACCCTCCAGTGTTTGGATCGTCAATGAATCAACAGTTCTTAATAATTTATTCCTATGCTGGATTATTCAAATACACTGCAATACCGTGATAACTTGCGTTTTCTCTGCCTTTTGATTAATTTATTACATTTCCAGATCCCATACCTTGTATCAGAATATTTGGATCTTCTTTGAAATAGCCACTGAAAATACTGGTACAAATTTGTCGAAATCAAGCTAGCTGAGCTGTAATAAAATACTGCAAGGATATTCCAATTACTGGGGGATGGTTGATGAGACTCTAAGCTTTGTAAAGCTGACCCTTGACCAACAGTTGCTTCTCTCTTTCTCACTACTAACTACTGACTAAATCCTTTAGCTAATCATAAACTTAATCCTAAATTCAATTAATCCTTCACCTTGTCGTGAACCTTGTCACTTACGGACTAGAATTAATTATAATGGTTTGACGATAGATTTCTTTTGGAGCACAAAAAGGTTGTTTGCTTGGGGTGGTGGCAGAGATGGGTGTGGATGGAAGAGAAATCATTACAGATAAAGAATGAGAAATAATTGCCGTGTTTCGAAAATCATTATTTAACTTCAAAGCATACTATCCTGTAAAATTACTTATGATGGTAACTGATAGAAAAAAGGATATTCATTTTAATATTTTTCAAATTTTATGTTTTCAAGATTACTTTGCTTGTAAGGGAAAATTGATAACTTAAGGATTCTCAAACTATGATTTGATCTGATTTACTTTTAAATGTATTTGCCATCAAAGAGAGACTCAGCACAAGTTCAGTTTCTCAGTTGATTACTGTGCTTTTGTATATAACTGGGAAAGATGGGTAACTTGTTTCTATTTCTTGAAGTAGCCACTAAAAGGTGTGTGAAGATCCTGTTCTATACTTGACATGTCTGTACATTGAGAAATATGGAGTGTACTGTTATTTGAATACTGCATCATATAATACATTGATACACCAAATAATTTGTATCTCTAACTTGTATTGTGGATAAACGAGGAACCAGTGGATATGCTGTACTTGCACTACTAGATAAGGTGCCACATCGAAGGCAATTGTGAAAAATAAAGGCTAATGATGTCGGGGATAGCATATTAGAAGATGGATGGGCTAACAGGAAGCTGAGAGTAGGTGTCAATGGATCTCTTCAGCTTGAGAAGATGTAAGGACTAGTGTGCTACAGGAATTAGTGCTGAAACTGCACTCAATTACAATTTATATAAATGACTGAGTTGAAGGGATAGACGGTATGGTTACCAAATTTGCTCACAGCACAAAGATAGATAGGAAATAAACTCTTGAAGAGAACACAAGGACTTTTTTAATTTCAAAGATGTGGTAAATGGGGTATATGTGGGGAAAATATGAAATTGTCCATTTTGGCAGGAAGAATGTAAAAGAAGCATGTTATCTAAAGAAGTGAGAGATTTCAGAGCTCTGAGATGCAGAGGAATCTGGGTATTCTTGTGCATAAATCCCATTACAGAATGTAATTTAGAAAGCTATAATTTATCACAAGCAGAATTGATTTCAAAAGTAGGGAGGTTATGCTTCAGTATACAGTGCATTCGTGAGACTGCATCTGGAGTACAATGTGCAGCATTGTTCACCTTATTTAAGGAAGGTTGAAATGCATTACAATTCAGAGCAAGTTTGCAAGGCTAATATCTGAAAAGGATCAGTTGTCTTATGGGGAATGGCTGGACAGGCCGAGCTTGTATCTGCTGGAGTAAGAGACGACATAATTGGAACATAAAATCTTGAGGCGTGTTGACAGGGTAGATGTGGAAAGCATATTTCCGTTTATCAGATAATTTAGAAATAGGAGTCACTGTTTAAAAATCAGAGGTCACACACTTAAAACAGAGGATAAATGATTTTTTTTTCTGAGAGTTGAGAGTCTTTGGAACCTTCTACATGATAAGGTGGTGGAAACAGAGAAATTGAATATTTTTAAGGCAGAAGTAGATAGATTCTTGGTAAAGAATGTTGTTAAAAGGTATCAGATATAACTGGGAATGTGGATTTTGAGGTTACATTCAGAGGATCCACAACCTTTTCGAATGGCAAAGCAGGCTCGAGGAGCCAGATGGCTAGTCTTAATTCATATGTTCACTTACACATTTTACTCAAGAAACAAACTGAAACTCAAGTAATTTTTCCCACCACTTGGTACCTTTACAAGAAGTATCCAGTTATGTTTCTGTAACAGTTTTTAAATTCCTGGACACAGAGTTAGGCTTTGGTTTGGTGCTTCAGTGTTGCAATCAATTTTGTTGCTGTTGTAACTTTTTAGAAATTTCACTTCTGCCTTCCTTCAGTTTCATTCCTTTTAAAATGTTGTTTAACTGTGAGCTTTTACTGTTCTTGAAAGAACTGCCCCTGTAACTTTTACTGATGTGTTCTGTACAGAAAATACTTACTGAACTGCTGGGTGTTTTTTTAGGATATTTGAATATTGTTTCTCATTTTCAACATCTGTGCTTTCTTTTGTTTTTTTATTCCATGAATCATGATCCTCTGTTTTCCCATACTTTTTTTTTTATCAATTTTCAAGATCATCCAGATGTCTTTTCAAAATTCTCAATTCTGATTCTGCAACTCTTTCTAATGTGTTATTACATGTTTTATCAATTCACTAAACGTGAAAAGAAAATCTCCTAATACAAGAAATATAAACAGCAATAGACTGTATCCATTGACCTGCTCCTGAATAGAGTTCATGTTGTGTCATATTTAAAACATCTTTGGGGGAAAAAAACACATTGAAATATTAACGTCTCAGTTTGACTGGCACCTATTTTTGTAAGTTTTTTTTTATGAGTCTGAAATACTCATTAACCAGGAGTAAATTGGATGGCTTAATCATATGATCAAATGGTGTCAATAAATCATGTTAATATTCTGAATAATAGTTTGTTACTAAATAAGTACAGTTTGATATTAGTATACATGTGAAAATTATGTACGCACTTAAATTACCCCCTCCCACCACCCTCTCTCTCTCTCTCCAACACACACACACACACACTCTCACACATACACACACACTCACTCTCACTCTTACTTTACTCACTCACTTTCTCTCTCACACACACATACATACACACACACATATACACATACTCTCACACATACACATACAAACGCACTCTTACTCTCACTTTACTCACTCACTTTCTCTCTCACACACATACATACACACACACATACATACACACACACATACATAC